GTGTGTGTGTGTGTGTGTGTGTGTGTGTGTGTGTGTGTGTGTGTGTGTGTGTGTGTGTGCACTGGCCCTGGGGCTTGAACTCAGGGTCTAGGGATTGTTCTTGAGATTTTTTGCTCAAGGCTAGTACTCTGTCTCTTAGCCTCTTAGTCACCCCACTTCCGGCTGTTTTTTGGTGCATAATTGGAGTTAAGAGTCTCACAAACTTTCCTGCCCTGGCTGGCTTCAAATTGCAATCCTCAGATCTCAGTCTCCTGGGTAGCTAGGATTATAGGCATGAGCCCCTGGTATCCAGCTTTAAAAAACAAAACCCCCCAAAACCAAACCTGACACATAAAAATTGAACATACAATTTAGAAAATTTTGTGTGTCATGTTTTAATATGTATATACATTGTGTCTCCTTCCTCTTACTATCAGTCCTTTGACCTATGGTACTTACTTGTTGCTTTCATTTTCTTACTTCATTTTTCCTGTTTACATCATTCTAAGAATCATTTTATTTTTTGGATTTGAAGTCAGGATCTTACGCTTGCTATATACTTATGTGCTCTACCACTGTGCCATGCCTCTAGCCCTTTTTCTATTGGTTGTTGTTTGATAATGTCTCATTTTCTGCCTACATAGCCACAGATGCTATTCATCATAGTTGGGATGATACTCATCATGTCTTACCTTCTTTCTGCTAAGATGGAGTCTCATAGACTTTTTTGTCTGACCTAGTCTTGAACTATGATCCTTCCATTTTTAGCCCCCTAAGTAGCTAGGATTATTGATGTTTACCATCATTTTATTTTATTCTTAGAATATTGCATTTCTTTTCCAAGCTTTTATTTTTGTGTGGGTGAGGGGTGAGGTTGTGCCTATGCTGGGGCTTGAACTCAGGGACTTGGTGCTGTCTCTTAGTTTTTTCACACAAGTTGAAAATGTTATGCCACTTGAGCCACAGTTCCACTTTGGACATTTTGCTGGTTAATTGGAGATAAGAGTCTGGTTGGACTGACTTTTAGTCATGATTCTTCAATTCTCAGCTTCATGAGTAGCTACGATTATACATTTGTACCACTGGTACCCAGCTACTTTTCCATACTTTTCAATGCCCTATAATTTTATTACCTACCTGGAAAACTCCACACTATATATTTGACCTTGAACACTTTGAGATTCAGCTAAAAAGTCACTTTGCTAGGCTAGCCATCTACATAGTATTGAACTTCATATATCTTTGCATTAGTCGTATGACCTTGTACTTCAGTTGTTTATTAATTTGTCAGCCTTGCTAGATCTTAAAACCATCAGGAAAAGTTTGACTCTTAACTGGACTAAGTTTTATTTTTATTTCCCTTGTTTTTCTGTCAACATAGCACTTGCATAAAATTGCCTCTCTTAAATACTTGAATTTAAAACACTTTTGGTATCTTTTCTTTCTTCTTTTTTTGACCTCAGAGACTTTTGCTTCCTAGCATGCATACTACTTCTTCTTTTTTTTTATATATATATTTTTTGGGTCCAGTTGTGGGGCCTGAACTCTGGGCCTGGGCACTGTCCCTCAGCTCTTCAGCTCAAGGCTAGCGCTCTACCACTTG